GTGATGTGCATGCACATAAGGGTATCAAAATTTTAGATGTTATTTTATATTAGTCACTGAATAAAATACATTAAGAGTCCTAGGAACACGAATGAACCCAGGTCTGTCCCCAAGCAAGGAACTTCTCATAAGGGTACAGAGGCCTCTTGCAGATTGCACTGTCTCTAGCCCAAAGAATCTTGAATTTTGTGTATGGTGGCTCTTCTCCACAGGAGCGGGGAGAGGTTTCTTTCACCACTCCCCCCACCCCCAGCACAGAATAATCTATTTCTTAGTTAGATACCTCTACTGGGAGTGGGTTGAATCTTCTCCAACAAAGGCTGAGGAAGTGAACTAAGGTATCTCACTTCCTGGGCAAATGCTGTAACAGTGATTCTCAACCCAGATGCAGGGGTACTCCAGGGTGCCATGAGATCCTTAAAGGTATCACAGGAAGCATGAGGAAATAAGCAGATAAAGACAGGCTCAGGCTCCCCTGCCCCAGTTTCCCAACTCTGCAAGGAGGTAAGCAAAGCGCTGTAATATATTCATTATTTTTTGAAATGGGGAGGTACTTAATTCACAAAAAGTTATGGAGGAGTGCCTTGAGTCTAATGAAGGGTTCCTTGACCCTAAAAAGGTTGAGAACCACTGTGCTATAGCATAGAGCGTGCCTGCCACAAGGATTCTCAAGGGCAGTGGAATGTCTGGTTTCTGAAGCCTGATAGGGCTCGGGTAAGAGTTAGGCATTGAATAGCGCAGCTGTTTCAGAACTGGGGAACTTTTGAAGTCAAAGGTAAGACACCTACAGAGTTCAGGTGCCTCTGGGGTTAGACAGCATCTCAGTGGGGAATTTTCAGGATTGCAATTTTGGACTTGGGTCGAATTTAGCATCTAAGTCCCATGCTAAAGTCCTCTAGTTACTTAAATACGAATTAAGTATAATTGGCATTTGTTGGAACCATTGTGGGGTGAAATACTTTTTAAAATCAAACCTACATGAATCTCAGGTTCCTGTTTACGAACTTTGGAGCCCAGCTTTAGACATCTACTCTTTTAACATTTTAGCCAAAATTTTAGGAACTTCTAACTATTCAATAGTACTGATGGGATGAGCGTGGACATTTGTTTCCTGGGGACAAGTAGCAGCGCCACACCTTGTGCCACTGCTCCTTGACCCCATGCATGCTCTGGCATGTGACAGGTTACCCCAGGTGGGGTAAGGGAGGCTGGGGCCAGCATCTGTGCTGGCTTCAGCAGCCTTACTGAGGTCCTGAGGGCCTCCTAGCCAGCAGCTGAAGTGTGGCTCTGGCTGGCCAGGCTCTGGTTTTGGGTGGCGTGTGCTGCTGCCACATGTGCCATCCCGCTTTTTTCATCGTGGGTTTTTTTTAACTCCGGACGTCCCGGGGTCAGGAAAAGTCCCTGTGCTGTGAAGTAGCAACCCGGGGAACCCCTGCATGTGCAGTGTGTGGTGCTGCAGACTGGTCTGTGGTGCCACATACCGCTTGTCCACACTCGTCTTGATACAGCCATGGAGTCTATAGGTTACTGAGTGGCCAAACTTTACTCTTAGATATGTGCATGTCTGAGACCAGAATCTGACACTAGGAGTATCTGAATTATGTATTATCTATCTATAGATGTAAATAAATAGTGAAACATGTTATGCTTCTAAATATGCATATACAAGTCTAATAGACTCCAGTGGGGGTTATAGGGAGGCAATAAAAGGAAAAATGGATTCTGTACTGTGTACAGTATGGGGGAGTTAAGGTAAAAAACAATTGTACAAAATTACTTATGAGTTTTTGACACTGTAATCCCTTAATGTGAGTAATATTAACACAGTCTTATGTTCATGTGTGCTCATGTGTATGAATATTCAAAGCCAAACTGCCAAGTTCATCTGTGGAGGGAGAAAGGTGGTGAGCTCAGCCTAGACAAAGATGAGTGAAGCTCAGTGCACTGGTTTATAAGGGGCCCGTTGGTTACCATGGAAACTAATTAGAGCTAATAAGTAAAGGGACATGTTAACTGTGGGAACAAAATAGGAGTGACTATTTTTCAATATCACAGTTACCTACAATTAATCTTGCATATTAGGATTGTTCTTGAGTTACTTCCAGCAAAACATTATTCACTTTGTTATGGGTCTTATCTGAGCAGGGTCATTCCAACTCTTTAAGTTCACAATTTTGAGAATCAGCTTGAAAATGTATTTTATGATGCATAACCTTAACAGTATTTCAGGTATAGTTCTTCCAGCAATGCTTTCATTTCAACTTTTTAAACCTAAACTCTTTGCAGATGGCAGTCTGCATAGAGAAGGGTAATGGAAAAGTCAGTTATAAACTGTCACTGCAAACTAAATCTGGCTCCAAGTCACAGCCAAAGCAGTTAGGTTATCCTGCAACATCAGCAGCAGTTTTAGTTGAAAACATGGTCATACAGTGTTTTAAGAATGGTAACTGTCTTTTGATTTTGGATCTGAAATTTTACATTTTAGGTTGCTAGAAAACTTTGAAGACCCTTGTGTGTATGCATGTGCATGTAAAATATGCAACAATGGGTCTTTTATGATCTCTTCCCAATTTTACATTGTAACTTCACAGACTTAAGTAGAACTCCTCTGATTTTTACTGGTGTAAAAATAACAGAATTGGGCCTGTACATTGTGTAGGAGTTTAATATATGTTATATGTAAACATTACATAAAATGCTGGTGTTGCACTTAACTGTTTTTCCTCTTGGTAGACAGCAATATGACAATTTTAATTAATGCCACTTAAATAAAAAGGTTTAGTTGCTTCCCACATGAGTAAATAAAATAAAACAGTCCCTCCTCCGCTGATCAGTGTTAGGCAATTATTCAGAATGCAAAATAATGAAATGTCATGAATTCTTTTTGTGACTTTTATTATTCCACATCTCTATTTTGCACTTTTAATGTAATATTACTAATTCAATGGTAGTAAAAATACAATTAAGAATAATTCAAACTACTTAAATAATACCTTTAGGGTTTTCCAGATCTACAAGGCTATCTGGACTCTTTGAGATCTGTCTGGTAAAGCAAAAAAAAAGAACCTGCTTTGAAGCAACAATTGGCACTGCTTAAAATCTTATGGTACTCAAGGGACCATTGTTTCATCCCTGGCTGGCTCACTTACCATTGCTGGAAATATTCTGTTGCTTGTTTATTTGGATTTATCAGATTAAGGAATAGTGTTTTAGTGAATACCCAGCATCTGCAAAAGCAGTTTCAGTTTAATAGGCTGAAACAGAAACCATACAATCACTTGTGGAAAGAACTTGAACAAATGTAATTAGGGCTTTAGTAATTTTTATCCTCTCCTCCTTTTCTTCTATAAGTCAACTATGGTCAGCTACTGAACTGGATTGTCTAACCTCAGATTTTGTAGACCGTTTGATTTGCCACTACTGATTCTAATATAGTTCCTAACAACATGCACTAGGTATTAAAGACCAAAAAAACCAAATCACTGTTTCTAGGCTTTAAGATGGGTTTAATATAGAGTGCTGGAACACTTTCTCTTTCCAACCTCCAGCCTTTTTACACTTCAGATTTTTAGCACTTGAAAAGTAACTTTTAAGGCCAAAACAACACTTTTACTTTTCCCTGTCTCTCTCCCATTTCAAAGAAAGGCAGCCTCTGTCATAAATGCGACATGCAGATTTAATGCAAGTGGCAAGGAAGGCACTTGGTAATAAAGTAAATCCCTGGCTCTGTGTGTGTGTGTGTGTGTGTGTGTGTGTGTGTGTATACATACACACACACACACACACACACACACATCTATCGATTGATAGATATATCTGTGTATGTGTATATGTGTGTGTACATGTGGGGAGTGTATGTGTGTAGATGTGCATGTGCACGTATATCTGTGTGTGTATATGTATGTATGTGGGGCATGTGTGTACATACTTGTGTGTGTATATTAATAATATATATATATTGTGTGTGTGTGGGTGTGTGTCTATCGATGGATATCTATCTCTCTATCTATTAGATAGATAGATAGATAGATAGATAGATAGATAAGCTAATATCTATCTTTCTTGCACACTGTCCTATTTCAGTGAGCCGGGATGGAGAGATGTGTTTGCAGGGCAGGTTTTCGCGGGAGGCTGGAGCCCGCCGCGGAGGTGAAGGGCGCTCGTGTCGGCGCGGCGCGGCGCGGCGCGGCTGGAGCCGGCGCGGGCAGGGGCGAGCGATGCTCGCGAGGCGGGGTCAGGGCCGCGGGCTGGGGGCACGGTTTCCTGGGCTGAGTGAGCGCTAGCCGCAGGGAATGGAAACTTTAAGGCAGGAGGCAGTGGGGACGCGCTGCTGCATCCAGCATGAAGACGCCCCGGTATTTCCTTTTAGCCTTTGCGGCAGCCGGGCGTGTGTGAGGAGCAGGGGAGGGGGGAGGAGAGGAGCCCTGCTCAATGTGACCGGGTCCCGGTGCTCGGGAGCCGCTTGGGTCCCGGGAAGCGGAGGCTTGTGGTGAGTTAAGAGCGCTGCTTTCTCCGCCGAAGCGCAACAGCTTGGTGCTGCTCCTCTCTCCCCCGCCCGGGAGAGCCGGGGGCGGCCGCAGGGCGATCGCGGGAAGGTGGGAGTTTGCATTGCGAGGTGCCAATGTCACATTTCGGTGCAAACGCCGCCTGCCTCAGCACTTGGGCCGGGGCCGGGGCCGGGGCCGGGGCCGGGACGGCGCGCGGGGCACATCGCCCTCCACGGACCTGCCATCGAAGCAGCCCCGAGCGCGGCTCTGTGCTGCCGGGCGCCCAGCGGCGAGGATCCCCTCACCAGGCATGCAGGGAGTTGTGAGAAGCACCGCAACTGCCTCCGCAAGAATCCACTCCCTCTACCTTCCCTCTAGGACCTCCCACTCCTCCTTCCCTTCCCTGCCTCTCCCCAATCGCAGCCCTCGATCTAAAGCTCCGGTTACTTCGCTAAGAGTTCTCAGCCCCCTCGGTTCTGCCCTTGTCTCTGCCTCCAACTTCTTAAGAGCCACCCAGCCCCAGCGATTGGATTGGGCAGCCCGTCTTGACACACCACTGTGCTGAGTGCTTGAGGACGTGTTTCAACAGATGGTTGGGGTTAGTGTGTGTCATCACGTTGGAGTGGGGATTAGAGAAGGGAGGCAGCCTTGCTGGAGCTGTGTGGTCTTCTCCAAGTGTGAGTTGCAAGCAAGAGGAGAGCTCTGTAGTTGTTGGGAGAAGAGGGAGGATTCCTTGTCAGCAGCTGCAAGGGGGAAAAAAGCCCAGTTTGTTCAGGTAAAGTAAAAGGCTTTACTGCTGCTGCTCATTATTATTATTACTATTATTATTATTATTATTCACGGCTTTGAATGGAATGCTAGCATGGCATATTTGTCAAAGCCAGTTGCTGTTGCCTTATCAGTGCTCCTATTGTATGGCTGACAGATAACAGCCAACATAGCTTGATGCTTGGCTGTCTCCACAAAACTAACAGTCCTAATGCAGTTAAGGTCATGCTTTTGAAGGTATAGATTAGACAATCTCTGTTGGAGCAGTGTATCTGCCACTTAAATGTCCCTTTCCTCCCTCCCTCCTTCTCTTTCTCTTCTCTCTCTCACAGTTACTCACTCTCTCTCTCTCTCCCTCTCTCACTCTCTCTCTGCAATCTACACGTTCTCCCTCCTCTATCTCCCTCCCTCTGCCGCTTTCACACACATGTGCTAAAATCTTCAGTAAATCACAGAAAATTAGAGTTGGAAGGGACCTCAGGAGGTCACCTAGTCTGACCCCCAAGTAAGAATGCCAGTGATTATCATACCTGTCTTCAGTTTCTTACAGGATAAGTGTACAGACATTTAAACACGTGTGAAAACTACTCGTAAAACTAATCCAGCACAATGTTTCTAACATTTTAACTAAGATGCTTCACTGATTTCTGCAGTCAGGCAGAAGGTAGGGCAGGGTTTGTGCAGTGTGGACTGGGTCACTGTGGAACAAACTAGAGTGTTTTGAAAAGTGCATTTGAGATGTCTGTAAAGTCTGAACGCTCCTTTATAGAGAGCTGGCTGGTCTTCTGATTATCACTGTATAGATGGCTTGGTGCACACATGGACTTAAAGTTTGAGAGGGAACCAGAAAGAAAACCAGAAAAGGTGGAAGTGGCAGAGTACAATGTAATACTGCCCTTGCAGTTGCAGCAGAGCAGATGGATGTAATTCATTTGCAGATCTGTTTGTGGAAGTTTTACAAGTCATTGAAAACTAAGTAGCATCACTATAATGGATCATTAAAGACTCACTGTATTTATAGATTCTAAACAGGCTATCTGAAGTGTTAATTAAAAAGAAAGAGGTTTTTTTAAGGTTAGGGAGGATGGGAGGCAGAACTTTAATTAGAAATTAGTGATAGAAAGTACTTTACTGTCATTTTCACTTAATATGACTATTAATTTCACTGGTAGTTGGACTGGGGAAAAGCTACCAAATTAAATTGAAAGCCAAAATGCTATCCCTAATTAGATTCTGAATATCTCAGAATTAATCTTTTCAGCTTATTGCTTCAGTTTCCCTGCTTTAACAGGTCCTGAAGGCAGAAGTGTTATTTTTCTTAAATACATTTTTCATTGCACCAAAGTGTCTCCCCCTGAAGAGTAACTAAATTATTTATTTCTTTTGCCACTATAACAGATCTTCATACAGAAACTCTCACATACCTGTGGTGCTTATGAATTATTGGTCTCTCCCACTTGTGAAAGAAATCTAACTCTATCCTTACCATTTACAGGTGAGGTATTCTATAAATAATACTGTATGTAATCCATTCTGAAATAAGATCTGTTTAGTAGGCTGAGCAAGGGGATTTATAGCTGGTGCTTTGTGATTTTGGCATTCAACTGTGTAACGGTGCCCATAAAACCATGTTTCAAGTTGCACACATTTTTTGCCTCAAACCAACTTTTTAGTTAACTTTTTTTTTGAATAGGCTGTTTGGCTGCTTTACAGATTGTTCTCAGCTTGTATTTTCAAACAGACTTTTTAGTAAGAATGTATTCTTATAAATGACCCACAGCAATTTCAAACAGAGCATTAGCTAAATCCTAATAACACTCTACAACCAGACTAGGAATTAAGTAACTAAACTGCACCATTTTGCTTTTTCACTTAGCCCATTTTTTCCCTTTGTAATATGTGATGGAAACTTTTGCAGCCTTCAAAAGAATCTCTCGGCTTGTGCTGAAATTTCCCATGCAGTGCACATTAATTTTACATTCCTTGTATCCTGCCCATGTTATGTTGATGGGAAGTTCCTTAAGCCAGGTACTGTCCCTGAAGACATGGTTTAGGCTTCTAACAAAGAGACGGTGCAGCAGTCTGTAGAATGCAAACTGCACATATTGGTTCTGTCACAGTCTAATTTTTTAAGGGTGTCTTCATGGACTTCTGTCAGAAGGTTGATCAAGTGGTCAAATATTTTAAGAAAACGCTTAGATAAACATATACGTCTTATTTTACTGTTGAACAGTACTTTGCCCAGCCCTGTCAGTAAAGCTTATGAAGAAACAGGGAACATGAAATCATGTTTTCCCTTCCTAGTAGTGATGGTGCTGTTTAAAAGACAATGCCCACAGGGTAGTCCAGCTTCTTGTCAAAAAGTAATCTATTGTTCCAGATGGTAAACATTCAAAGACATATTTATGGCGACTTCTACATACCTCAGTTTGACATTTGGTTTCTTCCTGAGAGCACTTGTGCTGGGTATACAGATGAAGTTCCTATTAGCATCCTAACAGCTGTAAAAGTGTTCACAGGCTCACAGAGATGTCCCTCACAGTGAGATAAAAATAATCTGAGAAAAAGATCTGGGACCAAAGCACCCAGTATGTCCCAGCAGATCTATCCATAAACAAACAAGGTAAAACATTCCAGAGGGACAAAAAGATCTCTAAACTCCTGCATGAAAACTGTAATATGTATTTGTTGCTGCCTCGCTCATCTTCGCTAGGCAGAATACTAAACATGCCATGCATGTCTGTACTACTAGTTGTTCTTGAGAAGTGAAAGGACCTATGATGAAGGAAATCTATGGGTTTCTTTTTCTTCCATATTTGTTCCCCTTAGTGAAGATCATGTCAAATACACACAGTGACTTCCTGGAGTTGTTGTCCAAAGTATTGCTTTTTACCGAGTTGCAAGCAAAGGCAGAATCTAAGTCATTTTTGTTCTAGCCAGAATGGGTTTTTGCTGTGAACCATCTTAATTATGTGTCAATTTACTACTTTTCAAGGACTTTCTCTTCTTAGCACTTTAAAATCAAGGTGAGTGAGCTTGCGCAATGTGAATTTATTCATTTAATTGTTTTGTTTGGCTGCTTCCTTGGGCTTTCATTTTTTTGGTCTCCATTTCAGAGAGGAAAGCTTAATTATGCACAATGCAAGTTTGCATTTTCAAAAAAACCCAAACAAAACTTGGCTTCTTTCCAAATGGCATGTGAGCATACTTCTAAAAGTAGAGTAAGTGGAATGGTATTAGAAAGAAAGGTAAAGATGAATTGCCTTAGGTATGGTAAGTATCAAAGTGAGAATTAAAATCACAGTTTTTCTTTCAGACAGAGACTGATAAAAGTATACTATTAAAAATGATGTGATGCTAGAACATTATTTCCAAATACAGAAGATATTATAAGCCCACACTCAGTGCAAGATAGGCAGCAATGGAAAGAATGATTTTTGATTGATTTTAAAATTCTGTTGCGACTAGATCATTTTATTGCAGAGCATTCTGAAAGTGTATTATCTGGTTTAGTTCATCCTGCACGCTGCATTCAATTTTATATTGTATTACTTTCCACAGAGCATCAAGAGTTTAGAGCGCTGTATTACAGTAGTGTTTAACTTTATCTGTACAAGGCTGGATCCTAGTCACACATGCCATGGGAGTCATGGATTCCATGATTTTCATGGTTTTAAAAAAAAAGTCCATGACATTTGGGGATTTATGGGGGGAGGGAGGAGAACCCATGTGATAACAGTTGAGGAAAATTCATGTTGAGTGGCTTGAGACCTGGAAAGTTAAATAAGGAGCGAGAGGTCAGTGCCAATTCCACAGTAACGTAAAAAGAATCCAAATTAATGGATCTTCCTGCCATGTACATTAGATTTCGCCTCAGAATTTTTTTCACTGTTGTTACCATCAGTGAAGTTTCATTAGAGGACCCAAAAATGGGATTATCAGTGTGATTTTTAGAATGGCTGCTGGTTATTTTAACCATCGTGTCATTCTGTTAATGGATGACCCAATGATTGAAAAACCACAGCATAAATTTTGCTGCTGTTGCCAGCAGAGTGGTGATTTAATAGTCATACCAATGGTGGGAAGGTTTAAGGAAACAGGCAAGGTACATTGCATTTGTGTGCAGGGGTAAGGGGGGTATTATATAATCCTTTGGGTCATATGCTTATCACTGTATTTCTCAGGTTGAAAAACAAAATTCCAATGCCTTTTTTCAAATATATGTGGAAAACCATGTTAATTCCTAAACTAATGTCACTTAGAGAATATAACTGTCTGACCATTTCCCATGGCTTACTTAGGAATCATCTGTATTTCAAAGTTAGACTAGAGCCCCTGTTTGCCACCAACTTCTGCTTCTGATTTATAGCCCCAACTGTGATGGGGAAAGGCAATATTTGAAAAGTTGGTGAAGAAGGGAGTGGAACTTGTGCAACTCCCCTTAGTTTTCCTCTAATGTGGAGACCAATGTGTAGGGTTACCATACTTCTGGGTTTTCCCGGACATGTCCTCTTTTTTTGGCCCCCTGTGCTGCATCCAGGCAGGTTTTTAAAATAAGAGCAAATGTCTGGGTTTTTTGCTCTTCCTCTGCTATCCCCAGACTGGCTGCTTGGGGCTGGGAGCAGTGGGCAAGATGACTGGCTGTCAGGGGTAATGTGCTCCCCATGCAGGCCCCGGCAAGCCAAGTAAATAGATGGAGAGAGAGACAGAGTATATGTGTGCATGTGTGTGTGCAACGTGGGAGCAGCTTGGGCAGCAGGCCTGGGGAGACAGGGGCTGCAGGTCCAGAGTGCGGGGCACCAACAGGGCTGAGGGGGTAGGGGGTTATGGGTCGGGAGTGAAGGGCGCCGGGGGGGAAGGCAGGGGGAGATGGGCCCAGCATGCAGGGCACTGGCAGGGCTGGGGGGCAGGAGTCTGTGGGTTGGAAGTGATCTTTTTTGATGCTGGAAATATAGTAACCCTAGGTTAACAGGAAGTCCTAGCTACAGCAGTGGACATACAAATCAA